CAGATGCTTAAACCGCAAGTCCTCCAAAACCGAACCCACGTCAGCTATGACAAAACGTATAGTCCTGCCATACATAAAGAACGTGTCAGAAATGACTGCCAGATTGTTCAAACAACATCATATCATGGTAGCCCACAAGCCAACCGCCACTCTGAGGAAGACATTGTCAAAACCAAAAGGAAAACGAGAGACACTGGAACGACGGAATGTCGTATATAGAATAAACTGCGCAAACTGTGAAAAGCACTATGTGGGACAAACAGGAAGAAAGCTGTCCACCAGGATACATGAACACCAAAGAGCGTGCAAGAAGCATTACGCAACCTCATTGGTTTCAGCACACGTGGATGAAGAGGGACACAGGTTCGATTGGAACAAGGTAGAGATCTTGACCGGAGGAGAAACACAAAAAGGGAGGGAGTTCCTCGAAGCCTGGTTCTCAACCACGAACTCAATCAACATGCATATCGACCTCGATCCAATATATCAACCGCTGAGACAGAGAGATTTCAAGAGGATCAACAACCGTTGTCCGAATGAACCTAATGCAACACACGCACAATGAACAGCATGGTCAATATGAGCCCAGACTACTCACCCACATCTCCTGCACCAATCCGAGTGCGATAAGCCCAACCACATCGCAACAACATTTCCGCAGCCAATGACATTGACTCGAGCACAACCGCTGAACACAAGGATTCACCAATGAGATCGAGGCAAAATTAATAGCCTCGTATGCCTATATAAGGAACAGAGTAGTTACCGACAGTATCCATTATTGGGTTTGCTTTCTACCAGCTACTGCTACTTCACTGCTATCAATCCCGCACTGAAGATGCCACCTCGAATGGTGGCGAAACGTCTGCAACCAAGTTGCCCAGCTCGGAGAACTCCACAACAACTGAGCAAGCCTCCCGAGCTACCAATATTCCAATTCATTTCGAACACCTACGGGCGCTCAACGCTCCGCACTGCTCGTCGTTGGGAGGATTTCGCTTGCCGAAATGCTTCCACACGGCAGCAGCTCTACTTCCTCCATGAATGCTTGCGAAGAGACATTCTTCCTCGAAGTGTCAACTACAGACCACCGATGAACCATCCACAGGCATGGACAATTGCGCGACAATTCGGAAAGCGTATGGTACGAATGATGATCACAGACGCCCACAACCGTATCCGAAAATATGAACGCTGTCTAAACGAACATCGAACCAATTGTTTACAAACAATTGGGCAACAACTGACTGAACAAGTGCAAATCGCAATAGAGCGCAGAGCTAAAAATACAAAAGCCAAAAAGCAGACTGCGCTCCACCAGAAGTTGACCAAACTGACAACCAGCACAGACGAATGCATCAACAATGGTTGGATCAGGAACCTGTCAAAACGGCCACTCAGTAGTACGGAACAACAAATTCTCGTCAAAGGCCTAAATTATAACTACAAAGACGCGACAACTACGGACTTTCTGGCACGATTTGAAAGCGCTTTGCAGTCCAACGGACTAGACGACGAAACACAGAAACGAATCAGATACACAGTCGTCCCAGCCATGACGCATTTAAAGCAATGCAACCCTCTATCCCGACAAGAGAAAGAAGCGATACAAGCTCTGAAGTCGGACGAATCAATTGTTATCCTACCTGCTGATAAAGGACGGATGACAGTAATTATGGACAAAGCAGATTACACCGAGAAAGCGGAGCAGCTCCTGAACGATACTACAACCTACCAATGCATTGAGAATGACCCAACGTCGCAACTAACCAACAAAATAAACAGAGTGTTGGCGAAGCTTAAACAGTCAAACGAAATATCGGAAGAGGAACGAGAAAAAATGAGGGCTCGCGACTCGAACATTGCACAATTCTATGGACTACCTAAAGTACACAAGGATGGAGCACCTTTAAGACCAATTGTGTCACTTCCAGGCACGCCTACCTACTACCTGGCAAAGGAACTATGGAGGCGCCTCAAGCACCTAATCAGTAAGTCGCAACACTCCATAAACAATGCTCAACAATTCTTGACGAGACTCAAAGACCTACGAATAGAACACGACGAAACCATGGTGTCCTTCGATGTGACCGCCCTATTCACTTCCGTCAACTTACAGCTGGCCAAAGAAATTATCGCAGAACGTCTGGACAACAGCGGAGGGAAGATTGGGAACATGACGACCAGAAGCGTATGCGAACTTCTCAACTTATGTCTCTCAACTTACTTCGCGTTCAACGGAAAAATGTATAAACAAGTGAAAGGTGCACCGATGGGATCACCTGTATCCGGACTCATCGCAGAGATTGCCATGCAAAAATTGGAAGAAGATCTACTACCAACAATTAATCCGAAACTTTGGGTTCGCTACGTCGATGATACCTTTGTGATACTCAAACGTAGCCAAGTATCGGTGGCACAACAACTGCTTAACAACGCTATGGACGGCATACAGTTTACCATGGAATCAGAGAAGGAAAACAAACTTCCTTTCTTGGATGTGTTAGTAGCCAGAACAGTGGACGGCGAATTGCAAACCTCAGTTTACAGAAAAAGCACGCACACCGATCAGATTTTGAATTTCCACAGCAACCACCCAAGGTGTCACAAAATAAGCTGTGTGCAGACACTGTTCCAGAGAATAGCAACTCACTGCAGTACGGCAGAAGCGAAACGAGCAGAAGAAAAACACTTATTCAAGTCATTTGAACGCAACGGATACCCACGCAGTTTCCTCCGCAGATGCTTAAACCGCAAGTCCTCCAAAACCGAACCCACGTCAGCTATGACAAAACGTATAGTCCTGCCATACATAAAGAACGTGTCAGAAATGACTGCCAGATTGTTCAAACAACATCATATCATGGTAGCCCACAAGCCAACCGCCACTCTGAGGAAGACATTGTCAAAACCAAAAGGAAAACGAGAGACACTGGAACGACGGAATGTCGTATATAGAATAAACTGCGCAAACTGTGAAAAGCACTATGTGGGACAAACAGGAAGAAAGCTGTCCACCAGGATACATGAACACCAAAGAGCGTGCAAGAAGCATTACGCAACCTCATTGGTTTCAGCACACGTGGATGAAGAGGGACACAGGTTCGATTGGAACAAGGTAGAGATCTTGACCGGAGGAGAAACACAAAAAGGGAGGGAGTTCCTCGAAGCCTGGTTCTCAACCACGAACTCAATCAACATGCATATCGACCTCGATCCAATATATCAACCGCTGAGACAGAGAGATTTCAAGAGGATCAACAACCGTTGTCCGAATGAACCTAATGCAACACACGCACAATGAACAGCATGGTCAATATGAGCCCAGACTACTCACCCACATCTCCTGCACCAATCCGAGTGCGATAAGCCCAACCACATCGCAACAACATTTCCGCAGCCAATGACATTGACTCGAGCACAACCGCTGAACACAAGGATTCACCAATGAGATCGAGGCAAAATTAATAGCCTCGTATGCCTATATAAGGAACAGAGTAGTTACCGACAGTATCCATTATTGGGTTTGCTTTCTACCAGCTACTGCTACTTCACTGCTATCAATCCCGCACTGAAGATGCCACCTCGAATGGTGGCGAAACGTCTGCAACCAAGTTGCCCAGCTCGGAGAACTCCACAACAACTGAGCAAGCCTCCCGAGCTACCAATATTCCAATTCATTTCGAGCATATCTCTCCCGAAATTCGGACTGTGTTCCGCGCTTCTCGGCCTGGGTCTGATGTCGTTTGTCGCCCGTGGACAATTTCCGATTTATCGAGCTACTTTGACTTCTGTCCCTGGTGTCCTCATTAGTCTTCATCTTCCCATGCTTCCGCGGCTTGTCCGTTCCGTCTGTGAATTTTGCATTCCGTGTCACTACAATAATACATCATTTGTCAGCATGTCTGTTTCATAAATTTTCCTCATTTATTTCTTATCATAACAATCTTAACCAAAACCAGACTACAGTGGTACAACAGATAAGGAGCAAAACTCTTCCCACAATTCATAATCACGACACCCACTTCCTTTTACTCTCTTGGCACGAGCAATTGCTTTCTGACCCGTGACTTTTACAGTGCGATGAGATGCCCACGTTCTACCGATGTGTACAAACGCGGAACCCTTTTAGTTTGGAGAACCAGTAGTTATTACGTATCGGATTTCACGCCCCTTATGATGCTGATTGACTAGTTACGGCCCAGTCGGATTTACACCTGCATGAAATCCGTTTTGGGCTACATGAATGTGCTATTTTATCCTGCTCGAATAATGCAAACATTGAAACTCAAACCGACTTATATCAACAACCAGTGGCGGCCTCTGATGTTAGTGGGGTATTAGCGTTATGGTTGAGAGACGTGTGTGGCACGGCTCTTCTGAAAGGGGAACATTACATACTGATACCCAAACGGTGCTTGTGAATACGCATGTAACTTTTCAAGAACACCTTTCCTCGTACAATGGAATCCACTATTTAAACGCCATACAACAAGGTGCACAGGATAGAAGAGTGCTGTGGGCATGAAGCTTTTCATATTTACCAACGACTGGACGGTGAAAACTATCTGCCTGTAGTGTCTTACCAGTTAAGTTGTGCGTTGCTCTCTGCGCTTTTGTTATTCACCATTATAACGAGGCTTGCAGGCTATGCCCTTCATCCTCCCTTGTACTGAAATTTTGTTATACACCTCAACTATTAACTTCCTCCAATGCAACAGCACCCAATACTTGTCCAGTTATTCGGTGCTGTTGATGTCATCATCTGAATGCCCTCAGACATAATTACTGACTTGGGCAACACATTGTCAATGCACTGTGTGCCTCCACTCCACGGTTAGTTCGTAAGAGCACCACATCTTTGATCGGCGAAGCCAACGCCTTATCTCTAGTCAAGTTCTATATGAGCTATTACTGTGATGGTAATTGTAAGCATCTTAGCCACACATTAACCGATGGACTTACCATAGTATGTTAATGCTTCATTTGCTTTTTCATAGATACGAGCAAAATAATAATATCTGACGTTTGCCTGGAAGCCGGACTGCCCATCGTTCTTCGGATTATGTCCGAAGCGCAGCCGAAAGGACCCTACACGGAGATACTGATCACAGATGTACGTTTTCTCCTTTTCCAATAAGGTTACTCAACATGGACCTCGTTTCTTTCACAATTTCTTTTAAACACTACTGAGTTGAAAAAGCCCATTGAATAAACAAAAGTCGTTATAAGCGAACGTACGTTTCTGGTAATTCCTCATCAGGCTTATACAATTACACAACAATCGAAGTTTGTTCATGGACCCAAGGGGGGTCGTCATTCAGTCGATTGATACTATCATCCACCGGCAAGCAACGTCGGTCAGGTGACTGCTGTGGACTCAGCGCGCTCGCACGGCATCAACAAACTCAAAACTGTCCTTTAGAGTGTGTACAGTAACACGTCTACGAACAGGCTCAAGAATCTCTACTTCAGGCCTCTAGAAATATCGAGGAGCTCATCAACGGATTCATTCAGGCTCATGAGGTAATACAATTCACCTACGAAGACGACGGCACTTTTCACTCCCTCGACGTAGCCCTGCAAATACTCAATGGTGGCGTAATCCAACGTTGCGTGTACATACAATGCACTTGGAGCGGATAGTAAATGAACTTTCATAGCTATATGCCCCTTAAGCTCAAGCGCAACCTGATATGTAGCCTAGTGAGCCGATCTGAACGAATCTGCTCAAAGGATACCCTTCTAGACGAACTGAAGTGCATATGTTCAAAACTACCTGTCGAGCCCCCGAAAATCCATCAAAGTACGTCCGTAACCGGCTATTAGACGCTCCCGAGGCCATTGCACTTCGGCTGTACGAACCACAGTTGTGCACCCAGAAAATGCTCACACAGACATTAAATCTTTCTTGGCCTGGACGGACTGTTGTTGAGCCGTGCGAGCACGCTGAGTCCACAGCAGTCACCTGACCGACGTTGCTTGCCGCTGGATGATAGTATCAATCGACTGAATTGCGACCCCCTTGGGCCCAAGAACAAACTTCGATTGTTATGTAAATGTATAAACCTGCTGATTGGGAGTAACAATGATGAATTAGCTGATGAGGAATTACCGAAAACGTACGTTCGCTTACAATGCCAACTAAACTTCACTGGTTGCGCTTAGTTCGCAAGGTTGTTTGAAAAGGTTCGGTCCCTTTTCGTTAATAGCACTTGTATTCGCGTGCAAATGATGGGTTCCACCGTTATTCATGGGGTTCATGATATTCCCGTGTGTCTGACAACAGCTACTGAGCGCGATGTGATGGACTCGATGGAATTTTCGGGTGCTCAGACGCTAACCTTTAGAATAACATTCGTGTGGCTCCCACATTATGCAGTCAGCATATGACGTCTACGTCGACGACGTTTACAATGAGACGACAGCTCAGAAACTATTTTGGAATTTTGAGTTATTCCTCCTTCCCTTTCGACAACTGCAGATCATATTAGTGCCAACTGATGACAGTGGTTTGGCTCGTCGATGTGAAGCATATCGCGAAATAGCCATGCGGATACTCTCTGGTCACACAGAGGATAGATCAGGCTTACCAACAGAATGCGAAGTCTACTTCCGGCTGCCACGAGTGAGCTGGCGCGAGACTGGCTCGGTTGCAGAACGTAAGTTTGATATTGCATTTGTGTGCTGACAAGGGTAATTTTTAATAAAATCACAACTATGCTTATGGAAAGTTTAGAAGTTACAGATATCACGAAACGGTCTCTTGCTAATTTCTACCTGGTTAATAGTAATGAGGTAGCTAGCTAGTCCATTAACCTAATCCGTTTGCCTGAAAAGTTTACTGAACAACAACGTATCACAATTCTCAGCTCACAATGCAAAAACTCACTAAAACCAATATGACATATTTCACTCAAGGAGATGACTATTAGTGGATATCTAAGTTCTATCATTTAATGAAATGTGTCACTGTAGGACCACATAGTCGAAGTGGCCGTGCGATTCTCGGAAAATCAGAGCTGGGTGGCTCACTTGAATGCGCAATACATGCGTCCGACGAAGAGCGTATCGAAGAATCACTGTTACTCACTGACTGAAATGATCATGTTTACAGAGGAGCGGCTGATCAAATCAGTATCACACGCAACTGGTGAGCACTTGAGGTGGAGGCTCTGACCTTTCTGATTGCGGCTCGCCCCTACATTGCCAAACCACTTTTTATAGGTGCAGTCCTTCCAGACAAGCATGCAGTACAATCAGTTGTCACGGTATGATGACTTAGGGGATTGGAGTCCAGAGCTGATGAGTTTGAAGTGAGAGGCGATCGCCTACCTACCTAGGTGTCCACATTGACGCAGGTATTCATTTATAGCTGATAAGTAATCATTTTGGCCTTTCCCGTAACAAAGTTCACCCAAGCACTTCAGACACTACTGCTTTTTTATGAGTGACATAATTTCCCCCACATTACACATCGTGTCTTCGTACGCGTGCCCTGAATAGTGCGCATACCATATAATGAAGCGTCGATACCCAGCTATCGAAAGGAGAAGTTTTCAATCGCTGCCGTACGTCACGAAGCCATAGTAATAGGCGCAAATTCGTGGAAAATAAAAAGTGGGATAAATCCCAGGGAATTGAATGGACAATACTTCAAAAGAGAGGAAGCGAAAAGTGAAGGAATTAGGGACAGTAGATTGAATTCAGGAATATCATTAGCTTCGTCAACCAAGGTGACAACAACCCCACCATTCACCCATCTATTCACCGCTTTTCATCATGTCGTTAGCTGATCGCCTTTAGACTTTATTCAAGATAGACTTGACATTGCCAACCTATTCACGCCGAAAGAACGCTTGAACACATGCAAAGGGCGGTCGGTCCCTAAGTTTCGTAGACAGTTCAGGTTGATCCAGCGACCTTTTGTGGCACCACAGTGTCCATGACGCAATAATTACTGGTGGACATTAGCATTACTCACACATTGCCCATCCGATGTGGCTATATTTTTGACCCATGCTCTAACGTTGAACATTTGGAAGTGTCGTAAGCTCGCCTTCAAGCAGTTGGCTGACCTTTTACGTTTTTCCTAGACGACTGATGCAAGACCGACATGCGCCATAGCCTCATTAGTGATTTATGCTGTGGATGTGATGCAGTTACTTGGATACCAGAACCAGTCGACGATTTTGCTTGGCTGTTCAGAGATGGTGAGAACTGCTACCACATTAATCCGGTACTGAACTGGTGCTTTAAATTTCGATGGTGCCAATCGCACGCCGATGTACGCGGCGCCCTGAAAGTAGGGCATTTAGGAACGTTTGTTTAGGGTTGTAGGTTACTCCAAGAGAACTACATCATCCAAATACTCTAAGGTTAGATGGTCACTTGACCTTATCACAGCTTTAGAATAAGTGAGCAGATTGGAGTGGTTTCTGATATTTTTAGTCAAAAATTGATCAGCGACAGACGACTTCATTAGTTTCGACACCGCTAGTTCTTGTTCCATATACGTCGCACCGTCTGAGGCGAATTCAGATGAACCGGCCAGCGGTTGAGGCGCAACAGGTCATGCAGGTTATTTTTATGTCATGACCGCCACAAATGAATGGGTGTATCGGACAGCGAATCGTTTGTTGAGTCTCTCAGCCATTATTCAAATATCACACTAATGCTTTGTCATGCTGAAATCGAGCAATCGACGGAAACAGCTTTCAATTTATCACTGAGCGAAAAGTAACTCTACAAATCCAACTACTAGTAGCACTTCTCGGCAGATCAATAATCGGTTTCAATCGGCTATTAAGTATGCAGCAGAGATGATTCCAATCGATAATGCAACTAGGATCTACGACGCTGCTTGAGCCCGCTTGATGAACAATTAATCCAAATTTGATCACTTCATTCTTGCCTGAAGAAAGAGCTGGAAAACCTAGAAAATGCACTGAATCCGGCTACAGATCGGCCAACAAGTGTGCACTCAATCCAGGGAAGTTTATTGTACTGCGGACTTCAAAATGATGCCTGCGTTGGAATGCTGTACTGTCAATACCAACATTTCTGTCGACGCACTTGCTCGCATTATTTGCTACTACCGGTTTGACGAGCATCGATCCGGAAACCGCCAGTAGTTGTGGTTCACTTCTCCGGTGAGCGACCCGTTTTGGCCATCCTCTTAGTGGCAACAATCACAGCACCTATAGTTTCGGCTATGAAGGCGAATCGTTTGAGCTGTTAGATGGATTCGGACTGGCGGCTTCTAACTTCTATCAACAGATCGGCAGTAAAGCGTACTCAACTGCTGCTCTGGAATTAAAAGCCAGATCGCACACTCGGTAACTTGAGTGATACTAGGTCATAATATTTCAACTGCCAATCACTCGGTCTAAAGAACAAACTTTTAAGCCAGGAAACCGATAAATCTATGTCCGAACCTTCCAGTCAGTGCGTAAATGATGTAACCCAGAGTGCATCTCTTAGACGACAATCTCCTGCGACGATGCGCCTCAGATTTCGACCTCAAAAACTTTCATCTGATATGCTTACCACTTCTGAGTTGCGCGTCTTACACTAGTTTGATAACGGTCACGACGCCAGTATTTTTCTGTATTTGCGGAGGCGTGGTGAGACGGCACCTGATTAAACGTTACCTAATGCGAGCTTTCCCTGGCAGTTAGACCGCTATTTGTACCTTCAAAACCGGCTTCTTGAAATATCGAGCACCGTTATTACTGGATTTTACCCGAACTTAACAATGCAATTACAGTGTATCTCGTTCTGTCTCCTATATTTGCACACGGCTTGGCAGGTAAAGATTAAAGATTTACGCTGGATTCGTCGGAGGAGAGATCATAAGGCACTAAGACTTATGAGTTAACTACGCTCTTTCATAGCAAACACATATTATCATCTTTACCGGGCCTTTGCTTTAACCCCAAATTTTAAGGTTGTTCTTGCAATACGACTGGATCACAAACAGATGTCTGCGACAAACTCACTGGACAGTGTCCATGCAAAGCTGGCGTTGTCGGAAGAAAATGCGATCGCTGCGCACCGTACCACTACGATTTCAGCGCCACCGGATGCACAGGTAGGTTCTCCTGGCTGAAGTACGGTTGATGAATGCTGAATCACTGAGCATACGCAGTATATACACTTAGTGGCATGTTCTTCGTCAGGCACTGAGGAAATTTAGCTTTAGTTTGCACTACTGATAACTTATTTATAAAGGCCATAACACTAAATCATACAATGCATGGCGCTGGTTGTACTCACGAGTAGTCTCGAGCAGCGCTTGGAAATCCTGGGACTGTTCAGAATTCGAAGACAAACAAACTACGGTGCTATACATGGGATTGTAAAATAACCATATATAATTAACTAGCTTGCAAATTATGTAGCCCAGCCAACGTCCCCCATGGCTCAGTGGCTTAAGCTGCTGGCTAGTTGACATTAGCCTCTAGCGGTCATGCGTTCTATCCCTTGTAAGGGACCGAGGGAGTGCGCACCACTGACAAGCCCCAATAGGGCGAAATACGTCTGGTGCTTTTTCGGACTAGGCTGTGCTATGTAGCTTGTGAGCTGCTGAGATGAATGCTTTAAAACCAGTAACCTAGTCATTTCGCTCGTTACCACCCCCATGGACTGCAACTTCGATGAGTTGTGGGAGTAGGATAGCAGGCTCTACTTTCATACCTCACGTGAAGTGGGCACTGCTAACACACACCGTAAGCATGAAGCGTGTCTTTTCGGTTGCTTTATGGCCGTCCAACCGAGCGTATTTATGATGAATTCAACTGAATGTTTGTTCAGTTCGGAAACCAAAAACGGGTCCGCACAAGGCGCAATTCAGGATTACCAAACACGCGTAAACAACCCCACCCTGAGTCACACGATCGTCGCGTGAATCGACCTGGTTACTTCACGGGTGAGAGGGACGAACAGATCACCATTAAGAACATCAGAAGACAAACGTTGTGGGATGACACTATCGTTTCGTGCATTCTCGCCGGTCATGTCCATACAAATAACAAAGGAACTCAAATAAGATCGCATCAATTCGATTGGTTTCCTCAGCAATTACGAGGCATTTGATGGATGCCGGTTACCAGATCAAGCCGGACGGGTCATGCAGTCTTGATGCGCAGTCAAAGGCCTCATATTCTCAAGCTCCTTGAGACCATTGTTATCATCAACAGCTCCAACCAGAGCGTTCAGAAACAGCTGACAGCGACATTAAACCTGCCGTTAGCGAGTAACACGGCAACCGTAAAGCGGTTGACCACCGATTGAGTTGATGGGACCTTCTTTTGGTTCCTTTGTTATTTCTATGTACGTCCATGATGATAATGCACGAAATGACAGCGTCACCCCACAACATTCGCCTTCTGATATTCTTATTTGGAATTTACAGTGGATTTTCATGTTTCACAACACCACCAGTGGACACCGACGCTGCTGCGAATCTCGATGACTAATCGGGCTTGACGGTGCCAGACCAACGAGGAATTAACGCGTGGGGTGGGCAGAAGGGGTACAGGGTCAATAAGAAGTTTCAATTAGGAAATTCGCTCATTATTTTCAACTTGGAATACCAGAAAACGCTGGTGGTGAAATGATTCCATTTCGTGCATTCTCGTCAAGCCTTCTCAACCAATGATGATTTCAAGTGCGACAAGGTTACGTTTGATCGATAGACGGCAAGTCGATGCACTTTGTGCTACTAAGGTAGTTGGATCACCACCGTCAATATTTTTTGAACTTGTACTGGTGCTCGCTCTTGACCGATAATGATGGTCTCAAAGAATTTGAAAAGAGCCCCTTTTTGGCCGGTGGCCGAGTGGTCGGCACGTTTGCTTTCCAACCATAAGGTCACCAGTTCGAATCCGCGTAGGGGTGGGCGTCCTCGCGGTATACTCAGCCCGCGCGCGACTAGTGGTGGTCGCGCGGCAGCGAAGTGTCGTTACGGCGTATAAGCTGACACATACATTACATACATTGGCATGAAGTATTTGGACTAGTAAGATGCATTGTCGCGATCATAGTCACTGCGATGGTAGATGAAGGAAGGGGCACGCGAATAATTAAAGCCAGAAAGAATCAAGGTGAAAGCAAAGTGCGGAAGGTGTGTATTGGAAATAGGGATGTAAGTGATAAAAACAGTCAAAGCAAAGGCTTGCAATCTACGGCCTGGGGGAACCAATCAGATGAGACCAAGTGACGAAAAGTCCATTATACTCCTTTGAGTAGGTTACTTGGCATGTTTGGTTTTTCACATCTATGCACAGCTAGATCAGTGGAAACGCATGCTGTAAGTTTAAGGTCTTGTACCGGTGGTGCGTCGTTACATCACATAATATGTCGGAGAAGGTAGAACTTTTCCCAAGTCCACAAATCGATGGCTGCGACAAACGTTCCATTAGGATTTGGGTGAACTATCTGAAATGGTTCCGCATAAATTAAGTAAAGGATAGCTACTCCAGCGTAAATCACGTGACCAGTTCTCTTTGCTATTTCATACATTACACATAGTGAGTTCTCATTGTTTGGTGACACTATTTCAGATTGCGCGTGCAACCATCAAGGGTCAGTCAGCATGCAATGCAATGAGGAAACAAGTATGTGTCCGTGTCATCCGGGGATAGTTGGAAAACACTGCGATACGTGCAAACCAGGCACATGGGACTTTCCTCGATGCCGGCCTTGTTCATGCAACGGTTATAGCGAATTATGTAATCAGGTAAGTTTAGTAGTTTTATGTCCCCTTCACAGTTAGCTGAATGCAATGATTGTGATGTTACAGTATGGTGTAGATGCACCGCCGAAGCCCTGACAAAACGCACACTCATGTTGCACTTGAATAATTAACGGAACCAACTTTGCTGTTTGGCAACCGGCGCTTCGTAAATGATTGTCCGGCGTTTCAGAATTCAAATGTACCGCATTGTTGTTGCTTCATGATCACCACACGTTGCGTCATCATGCGATTACCATAACCCGTCTGTTGGGTTAAAGGGTCTTTTGAAACTCACCCGATCTAGTGCTCCACACGTGACCGCCATGGCTAATCATTGCTTAGCGTTGATGTTTGTATCTTATTCTTTCTAACACATTAGCTGGGGCTTCTTGTTTCACGGTTATCCCGTAGAGTGTTCTGTTTTCTTCTGAAGCATTTGAAGACTGTTTCCTTCGGTTGTTGACCCAGGTTGTAGAGCCCCAACATTAAGCCAAGTTGAGACACTATTGATGCCTCAGCACTCACCTTAGAACGTATGTAACTTGTCCTACGAGTCGGTCACAAGTACGCCGTCATTGAGGTGTCTATCATCCCACCACGACGCTCAGTGTTGTAGGGTCACCAACTGTCCGTACCCCACGATCACAGCGAGAACACGAAGCAGAAGAGTACTGCTTCGCTTCTATAGGGTACAAATAGCGGCAGAAGCAACTTAACTAAAGCTCATCCGGGAGCCAACCAACAACATAGGAGACGCTGAACGACATAGGCGGATGAAAACCGATAAACCTAAGCACCAATCACGTGTGTCCGAAAAACAGTATTAACGACAATTGGACCGTGAGATAAACATCTATTAATAATAATAATAATAATAATAATATTAATAATAATAATAATAATACGTATAGTTCTCTTGATGAGAGAAACTGTGTCTATATCGGGACAGATCCATTTGTACAGCAAAATCCATGCTCTTGTATGGGTGATATGCATTGCTGGAGTATTAGGATATGCATTTCATGTATTAACATTCTGGTGGATGGTTGAGGCCAAAGCCTAGTTATGAAAACATTGGTGTTTATATGTTTCTGGGCCCCTCTTGGAATGGCTCATCGAGGGATTTTTCCCATGTGAATATAGAGCTTAGGGTAGTTAGATCAAGGTAATTGGCGAATCTGTTACTAAATGTTGCCACATTGTCACATGACCTGAGTGTTATTGGTAGTTTATTCCACAGATAGCTGTATCTGACCAGGAAGAAATTAGAGCGGGCGTTCGTTCTAGCCTTCGGTATATTCAAAGTACAACCTTTGTTGCGAAGCGCTCGAGTTGAGCAATGTTGTAAATTGAGTGTAGACAGTTTGGAATAGGTCTTTTTGTGGAACTTGTTAAAAAGCAGCAACAAGTTGTGCTTCAATCGTCGAATTTAATGTGGTTCTAGATGAGGTTCATTGCAACGTTCGCGATAACTCATAGCAGTGTTTACCAACCAGGTGTTTAGTAAATGATCTCTGCAGGTGCTCCACAGCAATTCTGTCACTCTTTCTCATATTTCTGTATAGTATGCTGCAGTATTCGAGGATGCTGCGAGTGAGTAGCTTGAAAAGCTAACTTTAGCAGGAGTTGTGTATATTTTGTTTGATATGTTGAACATAGACTATCTGGCATGTGCTACTTGGTATTGGGCTTGCTCGGAGAAATTGAAGGTAGACGAGTACCTAATACCAAGATCTCTCGTGGACAACCGTGTTGGGACGCGTTCATTGTTTAGGGTAACAGATCCTTCGGGGATGCAGCAGCCGTAAGACATGATGCTTGATGTCTTAGCCGAGAGGTTCATCACCCATGTGCAGCACCACGACTCAAGGGAATGTAAATCATCTTGAATGAGCAATAATGTCCCGTGAAGCTCGTCACGCCGAAACTTATAGACGCTTTTGATATCGTCGGCAAATACAAATGATGTGCCATGTTTTACGGATGTGGTGATGTCATTAATGTAGAGCAAAGAGTGATGAACCGAGCTAGCCCCCTTGGATGACTCCACTAGTGATTGAGCGTGGGGAAGAGCGATAATCACCCAAAGTGACTAGTTGATGACGATCGCTCAGGTATGACGATAACCAACCTAGTAATGGCTCTCAGGTCCCAAAGTTCTCCAACTTTTGTAGCAGTCGCTTATGCGGTACTCGGTCGAACGCTTGGTGTATGTCAAGAAAAAAGATTACTACTGCCTAGCCGGAATCGATTGATTCCGAAATGTGATTAAGGTACTGCAGTTAACAGGTGGTGCACGATCGCTTATTGAGAAAACTATGCTGCAAATTGTTGATCAGGCCAATAGAATCAACAAAGTTCATCATCTCCATTCTGACCAGCTTTTCAAATAGCCGAGCGACTATCGGAGTGTGGTGGATTCGTCGATACTTGTCGATCGTTTGTTTGGGAGCACTTTTATGCCGCGGCATAATAAATGACCTTTTCCATTGGTTTGGAAAGTGGCCAGCTTCCAGGGATAGAGTGAACATGCTCAGCAGTAGCGATGGTATATCAGGTCCTCCTAGTTTAATCATGGTTGGTGAAATGCCATCAGATATCAGCTTGGAAGATGGCCTGATTGGTTTGATGACTTGATGGATGGCGTTGAGCGAGATATCGACTCTGCTTACGAGGCTTGGTTCTGTGAGCTCTGTGCACATAGCCACCGGGTCAGTTTCGCGACTCATGGCAGTGGCAAAAAAGTCGCTGAATGCTTCACAGATTTCAGCTGGGTCACGATGTAAGTGACCCACACCAACAACAACTTCGGTAATCAGAGGAGAGCGGTCACTGGTTCTACGATGCAGTATTTTGACAAGCTCTCTAGCTTTGCGGCTTGTCCGTAGGGCTGTATGTTCTTCATTTTTTCGTCGTGTTAATTGCGCTTGTTTGACTGATGGTAAATTCATGCACTTGTAAGACAAGTGAAAAGTCATGGGTCCTTCTGTAACTTGCAGCTAACTTTCTGGTTTTCTTGCTGATAAAGTGCTCAAAGGAATCTTTGCAGACATGAGGGGTATGAATAGATTGTGAAGCAAGGAGGGCTATAGCGTGATAGATTTGCTTGTAGGACAGCTCCACAGCGGAGTACACACTGGTAGAGAGGAAATATACGTCCCAGTCGGAGAAACGAATGAACTGTTGCAAGCATTCCCATTTTATCTTATGGGTTGCAAATGGCGTTGTAGAGGCGAGTTTAGTGACCATTTTAATTTGGAAGCTGAGTCGGGTCATGGTATGGTCGCTGCCATGTAGACTGTTTACGATCTCCGTCTGTGCATTGGGTATCTCCAATGTGGATATTAATTCCAGTACATTGGCGGACCTGGTTGGACTAATAATCCATTGTGTCCAGCCCCCAGCTCTGATGGAAGAAAGAAAAGAAGCGCTCAAGGTAGACGTTGGGGGGATGACCAGCGTATTTTCGGTAGGTTGAAATCGCCGGAAATAATCTTCCGGCTGTGTGGCAACTCTGATGCGAAGTCAAATGCAGAAATGATGTTGGTGTTACGTGAAACGCACTCGGTGGGTTGTAGATACATACGAGCAGTGTGTAAGATGAGACACCCGCAACTGACAGCCAAATAGATTCAGGGATACTTTCCAATTGTGAGTGGTCTATAGGTTTAGCTGTAAATGTTTTGCCTATGTATATAATACACCCTCCACGTTTTCTATCGCAGCGATCTTTTCGAAATAGATGGTAGTTTGGAATCATCAGAGTAAAGTGTATCTGAAGAACACCATGTTTCAGTGACGAAGATCGCTTGCGGGTCATTGAGCTGTGCTAGTGTGTTTATAAAATGAAGTTTGTTGATTATGGATCTGGCATTAATCAGAATCACTGAAAATGTACTAAGTATTAGGGAATGATCGTTGTCCGTTGTGTGATCCTCTGAATTTTTGCATTCGAGCATTTTGCACATGGTGGGTTAGTGCGAGTATGGTGGGTCCGAGTTAGCCAATAGAACGTTTGTTAATAAGGGTAATATGTCATGTGTGGATATCGAGACATTTGGGGGCACGACGGGAATCCAGGCAACATGTTTAGGTTGCCGTTGGTTTGACATTGGACTAGCTTTGTCATCTGGACAAATTGGAGGAAGAGTGGGAACAAGCTGTTGACCTCCGCCGGATGTATCTGAGATGGGAATGGGTGCGAGTCCATTCCTGTCGCCTCTAAAAAATGGTTGTTGGAAGAAGCCGCTTGAGAGGTTGAAGGTACATGGATAAGTGCGGGTGGTAACGTAGTCCTACTGATCGACGTCCTTCCACTATCTGTGCACTTCCAGTGATTGCTGTGGAGTGTAGGATGATAGTTAGGCGTAGCCAAGAGACAGTTGTTATTGGTCTTATTCAACATGGAAGGTTGTTTGCCCTGGTAGCTATAGGAGGTTGCTCGATAGGGAATTTTGAATGCCACCGTGTATTTAGTGTCCATAGATTTTTAAAGACACAGGTCCCTGGATTGGAGAGGTCGTCTTTGGGCGACAGTGGACTATGAATTACATCAGGTTGTTTATCTTTGAGCGTGTCCTGTTGGTCTGGACCAGATTGTGATATATTCAACGAGTTGTCATCACTGTTCCAAGCACTTAGACTTTCCTTGAATCCTTGTGCATGATGAGTTGGATATACTGGGAGTGTTGTTGTCAGGAATCAGAGAACCCGCTTTATCCTTTCCTTGTGTAGAGGGTGTTTCAGTGAAGCGAGGAAAAACGGCTTTGGATCTAGTTGACAACGCTGCTAGGTTATCGATGTCTAAATCAATGCATCTAGTACCCACCTTGGATGCACTCGTCTTTTGGACATTTGGCTCAGATTTCTCGAACAGCCTAGTTATTTTTTCCTGTGTTCGCGACCCAGTGCCATGTTCGAATCTGTGTAGAGGTGTCCCATCTGGTTTACTCAAAATGCCCTTAAATTGGGTGCGCTGGCCTAGGAAGGGTCCGTAATGGAAG